AGTGTTTTTAGAAAAAGTGTGGAATTCGACACTTTGTTAAAGTCAGTATACTTTGCTTCTAAAACGACTCGCAATTTGACGATTTGCCCATTTGCGTAAATGCATGCGCAAGGTATTGTAATTGAAAAACCAATTTCGCACATTCGATAGTTTGACATGGTAGCGACGTTATTTAGAATCCATTAATAGTTGCTTGTAATATAAACGATCCATAATTTCTAAAATTAATGAACCAACAACCTTTTTTAAACACACTATTTACACTGTTGCGATAAGCAACTTATGAAAAAAATGTAATTTACATTGTCTTTGTTTTTCAAAATTTTTGCTGAAACTAAATAAAGAAACTTGAAACTAAAAACTATTATTTATTTTTTTTTTAGTATAACCTGTTCAAACTCATAATCGTGTTCTTTTACGCCTCCTCACCGGTGAACGCTTCAAGTGATATTCATTGTCATCATCGATCTGCAAATAATCCACGAGATTTTCCCACATTTCTTGCTCTCTGCAAATACGAATTTCGGCACTAGAAGGAATATTTCAATAAAGAAAACAGCAAAAGCAAGCAAATCCGCCAGACAGCGCAAGATTAAAAGTAAAACGCAATGGTAATGGATGCAACTCAATCCCAACAACCATCTCCACAATCTGTTGGCCGCGAGTTCGTGCGCCAATACTATACTCTACTTAACCGTGCGCCAAACCATTTACATCGTTTCTACAATAACAACTCTTCGTTTATACATGGCGAATCGACTTTGGTTGTTGGCCAGCGCAATATCCACAATCGCATACAGCAGCTAAACTTTCATGATTGTCATGCCAAAATAAGCCAAGTGGATGCTCAAGCGACCTTAGGCAATGGTGTTGTTGTTCAGGTGACTGGCGAGTTGTCGAATGATGGCCAACCTATGCGCCGTTTTACTCAGACCTTTGTCTTAGCATCCCAGTCGCCGAAGAAGTACTACGTTCACAATGATATCTTCCGTTACCAGGACATGTATTCGGATGAGGAAAATGATGGAGAAACGCGGTCAGAAAACGATGATGAACATGACCAACAGCAACAGCCGGCTCTAGCTTCTACTGCTGCTCCCGGAAGTGAACCAGTCGTATTGCAAGTGGGCGCTGGAACGGGGGCTGTAACTGTGGAACCACAGCAACAGCAACCAATTCAACATGCTCAGCTTTCAGCGCAGGTAGTGGCCACACCAGCAGGTGCTGCGGTGTTACCCCAGCAACAGCTAGGCGCACAGGCTACAGGCGGTGCACCACAGCAACAAGCTATTTACTATTCAGTGCCAGCTGCTGGTGGCTGTCCTGTGCCTTTAGTGGCAGCCACAGCACCACCGCAAGGAGCAGCCGCCGTGCCATTGGCTGCACAATTTTCAGCTGCAGCACCCACCCCTAGTGTACCACAACAGGTGCAGCTGAATGGCGTTGTTGGCCATGAGGATATATTGTCGGCTGCAAATCAGCAGCAGCAGCAGCAACCAGGTGCAGGACAACAACAACTAGTCGCACCGACTGCTTCCCCTGTGGTCCCGCAGCCCGCAGGAGGTAGCGTTAATGTACCGACACCCGTTATTGCCGCTCAAACTGTCCCTGCTGCTGGCATTGCTGCTGTGCCAGTTGCTGCATCCACTACAATTCCACAGAACTCGGCTANCTGCTTCCCCTGTGGTCCCGCAGCCCGCAGGAGGTAGCGTTAATGTACCGGCACCCGTTATTGGCGCTCAAACTGTCCCTGCTGCTGGCATTGCTGCTGTGCCAGTTGCTGCATCCACTACAATTCCACAGAACTCGGCTGCAAATATAACCGGCTTCCAACAATCAGCCCTGTTGCAGCCGCATGTACTTCAACAACAGCCATTGCCGCAGCCATTGGTGGCACAAACGCTGGCATCACAACAATCAACGACCGTAGAGTTCGAAGATGGTGGCATTAGTCCTCATTTGACCAGTGGTGTTGAATCAGACCCTCGCACAGGATCGGCTAATATATTAGCAGCAGCAGCTGATAATATACAAGTTGTTGATGATTTTAAGGCGATTAATGAACAACAGCAACAGGAAAAGTATGAAGCCGCTAAACAGCAACAACAACAACAGAACGAACCAAAAACGTATGCAAATCTCTTTAAGTCGACTTCATCCTCGCCGAGCGGTTTCGTTACTGCTGCCATGCAGCAACAGCAGCAACTCCAACAACAGCAGCTATCGTCTAATAATACGTATCAGTCGACGACAACCATTTCCTCTACCACATACTCACAGTCCAACTCCAACACTACTTCTTCGCTCTCGGTTTACAATACGCGCAACAGCGACGCTTCATCATTGCGGCTAGATAACAACAATTTTGGTTCGGTTTCGCAAGGCGGTCCACTGCCGCAGCGTAGCAATACATCCCGAATCAATAAAGGTAAATAAATAATGATAACAATTTCCTTCCTATCTGATTGTATGGTAATTTTTGTTAGAATATGAGCCGCGCCGCACCAGCAATGCGCAACAATCCGACAACCAACAGCTATTCTTGGGTAATATACCACATCATGCTTCAGAAGAAGAGCTGAAAGCATTGTTTAGTCGCTTCGGTCAGGTACTGGAGCTTCGGGTTATGTCCAAGGCGAAAGCTACCAATTTGTTGAGCGTGCGATTATTGCCGTTAAGTATTTTAGGAATTAGCCTCAGTGTGTTATGAGTTACTCGTTCTTGTATGGACGGAAGTCCAGCTTCCATTAAAATGCATTTCAGTGGTGAAGTAGGGAAGGCCCGTATGCTTCTCCGAGCTGCTGCGTGGTATGCTGGTGTTATTAATTTAAGCTGACTTTTTGAGCAGTGCCCATAGATTGTTAGGCCATAGTCCACTTTTGACAGGATAAGTGCTTTCGTTATGATTATAAGCGTTGTTGGGTGTACAAAGCAGTGCTTCGACGATAGGTACTTAACAATATTAAGGCGAGTTATTAGGTTTTTTTTTTAATATAAGTACAATGATCTTTGTAAGTCAGTTTTTTATCGAAAATAATACCTAAGATTCTTAAGCTATCGCAGTTCGCAATATTAACATTGTTGATACTTAAATTAAGCGGTTGACAAGCATGTTTATTACAAAGGTGTAACATTTTACATTTTTCATAAGAAAGAGATGCTCCCGAATTCTGTGACCAAACGGAAATGTCTGTAAGGATTTGATTAAAATCCGTATGTACTTGTGATAACTCTTTACATTTAGTGAACAAAATGACATCATCGGCATAGATTACATAGGATATTCTTTTGTAATTATTAAGTATGTTGTTAATTTCATCAAAAGCAACTATAAATAGAACTACCGAGAGCGGAGAGCCCTGAGGTACGCCGTTTTGAAGCTTGTGTGTTTTAGAATATTTATTGTTAACTTTTGCGGAGAAAGTTCTATTTGTCAAAAAATTCTTTACGAAATTATAAATTCTAGAACCAATTTTCCATCTAGCAAGTTGCCTCAAAACTACGCGAATGCCGATCCTGTCGTAGGCTTTTTGGAAGTCTAGACTAAGGGAAAAGACGTGATTTTTTGTTGCGATGGCATTGGAAACGAAATTTTCGAACGATAAGAGGGCATCAATTGTACTATGACTTTCTTTAAATGCGTATTGATTGGGACTTGTACACCCTTTAGTAACTACGAACCACATTATCCGTTTTGCGACGATTCGCTCTAGTACCTTGCTCAAGCAAGGCAGAAGGGATATCGGCCTATACCCGGAAGTCATTGTGGAGGGGCCATTTGTTTTAGGGACTGGAACCACTATGGCATGTTTCCACATGTGCGGAAATATACCGTGTTCGAAAATGTCGTTATATAAGTCAATAACCCTTTCTTTTACTTGACACGGTAAATTTTTTAGCATTGGATATGATATTCTGTCCCTGCCGGGTGTTTTACCAGACATCGCGGAAATTGTGGAGTCGTACTCAAATGTGGTAAACGGACATTCAATCCTGTTGCTAAGAGTAAGTTTGGTGGTGTTAATGTACTCATTGCTGATGGTATTATATTTTTTTGAAATAAACTCTTGGTTGAAGTTGGAGTCTTCCGAATACTCCGCCCAGATAGTCGCGAAATGGTTGGCCATTTCTTCTGGCGCGTAGATAGGGCCCTGGTTGGTATCTAAAAACTGTATGGTGGGGGGTTTGTTAGAGCCGGTTAGAGTTCTGATGTCGGACCAGACCTTTTTTGGATTTGAGGTAGGGTTTATCGACGCTGTTATTGACTCCAGGCTTTTCCGTTTAGCTTCCTTCATGTTCTTTTTGAAAATCGCGTTCGCTCTTTTGTAGTTAATAAGATTATATACAGACCGATTTCTCCGGTAGGTATACCAAAGCCTCTTTTTTTCGTCTCGCAGGCTGCTCAGGCTTGCGGACCAGTATGGAACTACTTTCTTGAGTTGTTTGCTTTGAGTTTGTGGCATTGAAAAGTGTGCAGCGGTACGGATAGCTTTCTGGAGTAAACTAGCTTCTTTATTAACATTGTTCGACTTTGGGGCCTGAGTGATCATTGAGAGGACCACTGTTTTAAATTTGGACCAGTTTGCATTCTCTGTCTTAAATTTTGGCTTCGGTTTGCCGGGGTTTGAGATGGCGGATGTAAGTTTTGTAACCAGAGGGAAGTGGTCACTACCGTGCAGGCAGTCCAGTGTGGAACACGAAAGCTTTGGGGCAATACTCGCTGAGCATAAAGCTATGTCTACATGCGTGAATGACTGGTGTGTGGAGAAATGCGTGGGTGCATTATCGTTGAGGACAATAAAATTGTCTGTGAGGATAAGATCTTCTAACACTCTCCCTCGCTGATTTGTTACCCCGGAGCCCCAGAAGGGGCTCCAGGCGTTAAAGTCTCCAGTTATAATCAGGTTTGTTTTAAAATTTTTAATAATATTTTGTAGGTCTTTTAATTCAAAAGTTTGTTGTGGTGGGATGTATGTGCATAAGACTGTGATAATAAATCCTAAGTTAATTTCGATAGCAATAGTTGATATATCTGATTGCACCTGAATTTGTTTATGTGGAATATCTTTCCTTACAAGGACGGCAACGCCTTGTTTACCGGATGTGTTTTGAGGTAAGTTAAAGAAATAATGATTATACGAATTTGAAATGGTTGTAGTTTTGTTATGAGGTAAGTGGGTTTCCTGTAATGATATAAGTGACGGGGAATGTTCTTTTATGAGAAGTTGAAGTTCGTGCGAATTATTAATAAGTCCTTTGATATTCCATTGCAACAAAGTGAAAGTCATCTCAGTGGAGGACAAAAGACAGACAAAAAGAAGGGAAAATAAATCTTTTTTTTTTTTTAGGAAATATCTACATCTGAGTCTAGTGATGTAGATTGTGAAGTGAAATAATCGTTATTTTTCAAAAGCTGCTTGGTAAGGCTAGTAAATGGCGAGAAACTTAAAGATGGGGTTGGTTGTGCCGGGCTAGCTTCGTTGCTCGCGGTTGCTGACGATGGAAAACTCTTAGTGGTGACAGAGGTGTTTGTGTTGTTGCATATGGACTCCGATAGTTCGTTTTCTGTGACTATAGGTTTAGGAGTTTTAATGACGAATTTGTTGCTTACTTTTGGAGTAATATGTGGAGTGGGTAACGTATTCTCTATGTGGTTTGTTTTTAATGTTGTTGATTGCATGTTATCAGTGGGGGTAAGAGAGGTTGATTGTACATTGAGGGGTACATTGGCTGCGTTACTTACAACGCCAGCAAAAGATGATGGGGATGAGGTTTGGGGTAGCTGTGCTATGTATTTATTTTTAGCTTGCTTCAGTGTGCATTTTTGCTGAATTTTAATTTTCAGAATTTCCTTTTGTTGTATGAACTTGGTGCATTTGTTAGAATTGGAGGGATGTTCGTCCTGACAATTTGCGCACTTAGTACGTATGCATGCGCTGTTGCTATGTGGAGGGAAGCTACAGTTGACACAAATAGGATCGTTTTTGCAGTACTTTGCAGTGTGTCCCAACAATTGGCACATTTTGCAACGCATGGGATTTGGGATGTATTCCCTTACTTGAGCCTTATGCCATGACACATTGATTGACTGAGGCAAGTTGTAAAGGTCGAAAGTTAGTAGGACAACACCACTATTTTCCGATTTATTATCACGTTTTTTAAATTTGTAAACGGACACTACGCCTTGCTGTTCTAAGTTCTTCACAATTTCTTCTTCTGAGACGTGGTTGAGGTATGGGGCGTATATAGTTCCTTTTACAAAATTCAAGTTATCGTGATACTTACACGTGATTTCGCAAAGTCCTGCCAACTGTTTGGCGGATATAAATTTTTGTGCTGCTGTTTTGTTTTCGACGAGAAGTAGAAGATTACCATCACGAAGCTCCGATACGCTGATGATATCTTTGCTAATGATGTGTAACGATCTTTCAACTGCGAAGCATGAAAAGTTAGTCAAGCGTTTATTCTCGTCTTTAGAGGAAACAACAATATATTTTGGGTCAGACTTTGTCGAAACCAGGTTAGGTAGATTTGGGAATTCGGATAGTTTTTTCCGCTTTTTGACTGATGGGGGACTAGGAGCTAATAAAGCAAACCTGTTGTCCCCAAGGTTAGAGGCCCTACGGGCCATTATAGCTGGGAATTCGCACCTGCAGCAAATTAAGAAAAAAAAACACCTGCACGTGTAAGTGAAAAAAGACACGAGGTATTTGTTTGTTTGTTTTTGTATTTCACTGACGGGCTATGGAATAGCAGAAAAAGGGAAACACAGAAAAACAACCGTTCGCACCGAGAGCTAGTCGACGACTGTATTATGTTTTAATTTCATATGATTTCTCTGCAATATAATTCTAAAATTAAGCAATTATGTAAGACGTATCATTTATGTTTTATTTTTAAGATCTTGTAACATTGCACAAATGCACGTGATTAAAAAGTTATATACAAAAATTTAATAAATAGCAAAATCTATTTGGCTAATGTAAAATGTTCGTTATCATTGCTCTCTTATTACTCCTACAGGATGCTTTCGGGATGTCTCTAATGAGAGCACTCCTTTATTGCTCGTTCGGGAGGAATATGGGATGTTTTCTATGTGCACTCCCTTGTTGTCTTTTTGGGAGGTTTCTGGGAGGTAACTATAGGAGTACTCCCGTATTGCTCTATTAGGAGGTTTGTGGGATGATAATTCTGTGTGTGCTCCCCGATTGCTCGTTTAGGAGGTAAAAGGGATTACTCCCCCTCCTAGGACATCCAATGTTAAAGGGAGTATACAAAATTACATGCTTATACACAGAAGCATAGGGAGCAATGGGGAGTATTCGTATACTCCCAAGGGAGTACTCACCGAGCAATCGTACGATGCTCCCAAGTTCTACTGGGTAGGTACATATGTGTACTATATATCTAAAATGTTTATGTACGTACATGTCTAGCGGTAAAATCACGCCATACGTATACAGTATAAATAGAAGAACAACTTTGTAAGCAGCTAAGTTTTTAAGAGGAACGAATAAAGAAAAAGTTTAAAAGCGTCCGCTAATAGAAATTCGCATATTCAATTTTTATTTCCTGTTGTTGTTGTAGCAGCATACAAGCTCCCCAAAGGGTTTTTGGGGAGCGTTGCTGGAGTGACAGTCCTTGGCCAAATATAAATCTGGGTCGTTCCGGTTACGTAGACCCGACTGTCGTGGGAGAACTGTCGCTAAAGTTTCGCAACAGGAGTACTCACCGAGCAATCGTACGATGCTCCCAAGTTCTACTGGGAGTTTTGATTTTAAAATTATATTGTTGGCAAACGTCGGACTGCCTCTCAATGGTTTTACCTTGTGTAAAAGCCAGAACACCAAGTGGTAAAATTATAAATATGTATTATATTTTTATC